TATGCGATAACGAGTCACAGCATCAAACTTCTGAAGGAAAAAAGCAAATTCAAAGACAAACACATAGTTAGCCAAGAAACAACAAAACAAAGTCATGGCTGGTTTTCATCTATAGTCTGACCTCAGGAGTGGTAAGAACTACGTCAGCATCCTGTATATCCTTGATGTTGTAGTACTCATTGTCCCCAGTCAGTTCCAGGCAGTTTATCCCCCATGAGCCAAGCTTTTGGTTCCAATTGCGAAGCTTCTCTTGTACCAAAGCTTTCGAGGGTGCAACATATATCTGTATATCAGAAGAAAAAAGGAGGTTGCAGTATGGTTAAATCACTAAAATATGCTGAAATTTTCAAATGGCCACATAATCTTCTTCGCACGGGCTGGAGTAGGAAATAGTGGCAAAAATCATTGTGAATATCCTGACTGACATATGCAACTATAAACATAAATCGACAGGATGTAAGTAGGAATGACCAATAAAACGTGATGTATTGAGGTGAACTAATTCTTTCATCCCAAAAGATGATCCTCAGTGCTTGTATATGCTAGATAAAAGTAGTAGCAAGAAGAGAACCTAAAATAAGTAATTGAGGATCTTTTGAGCTGCAAGTATGAAGTAAAATAGACAAGGCATGCAGTTAAGACATCACAAATTGAAAGTATTCCAGCACGTTGAGTTCTTTCTTTCAATAGAGATCCTTATCATTGAAATTACAAATTCAGTCATCTTACGCTAAATATTGACAGAGACTTACAGTCTTCAGAGACCCCTTTATGTGAATAAATTTTCCCTCTCCTGAGATAAACCTTGAGAGAAGCCTCAAAATGCATAGTTCAAAAAGCACTGTTTTTCCACTTCCAGTTGGTGCCGAGATTACCATGTTCATATCCGATAGGAAACAAGCTGGAAAGCATTCACTCTGCAGCGAGTTAAAGTATCTGCATGTAGAAACAACAGTATTTAAAACCTTACAAGCTAATTTGGGATACTAAAGAATGTAATACAGTAATAGCATAGCGCAGATGTGAAGCTGCTGATCAAACAGCCATCTCGACTTTGACTTGTGACCAAGAGCAAATGAAAAGAGTCAGCATCATTGAGACATTTCTAGGAGTCTGGAAACAGTATTCAAGTTTCGTGGCTAGTGTATGTATAGCGCTTCTTAAATGATTTATGTTACACTATAACTACTACGTCTCAACCCTAAACTAGTTGCGGTCTGTTATATGTTTCCTCTCTCTCTCTCTCTCTCTCTATATATATATAGACACACACACACACAAATCCTTCCGCTCCAGTTGGACTCATTTCATTCAAATAAACTATTGTTTAGAACAAAGTACTGGTTCTCTAATAGATGTTCTCTATATCTCACATTTATCCCTACACTTAGTCACTTACATACAAATTTCAGGTGATGACTAAAACGCAATACGAGAGCATATAATTTCTTCATTTCAAGGATTCCAGTACAGTAAGCGCACATGAGCATTCAATCACAGTGCTGACCAACAGAAGCCTTCAGAAAATTACACAAAATATCTCAGCAAAACAAAAAAAAAAGTTTTATTGCAATCGAGTAGAAAAAAGTGCGTAGAATAGTACCTGAAACTGAAAGTTGAACGGAATAGAGGCGGCAAGTCCATCACAGACCTAAGTGCGTAGCCATCCATGATCATCGAATTTGAAATTCAAATCAAACGATTATCACAACTTCAAATGGAAGTCAGAATTCGATTATAGAAGTTACAACGAACTGAACCAACAACTACTACTACTCTAGTAGGCATTAACTATTATAACCAGGGGCGGGTCTAATGGCATGTTTGGCAAAACTGAAAAAATCAGGTTATTCTGAGAAACCTTTTTTTTTTTTAAAGTACTTTTCACAAAAGTAAGAAAAACAGTTTTTCCTTTGCCTAATCAATTTAAAAAGCACTTTTGAATAATAATTTGTATTTGGCCAAGCTTTTTAAAAAGACTTTTAAGTGTAAAGTTACAAATAAGGACATAAAAAGATTTGCTTAATAATTAATATTATATAAGTAGATAAATAATTACAGATATATATTATTGCAGATAATAATTAAGTCTTTTTATTTTATTTAAATAAAATATAAAAATAAAATTGGAAAGTATTTTATTCTTTCAAGATAATTTAAATATATAATAAATATGAAAGATTATCCCAAAGTCATTTTATATTACTTAATAGTTTAAATTAAGTAAGGTTACATTGGTATATATAATATTTTGCAAAGGGTATTTTTGGTAGGAAAAGTTAAAACTGCTTCTGCTTCTAGCTAAAAGCACTTCCCAAAAAAAGTTTGGCTAAACAACTCAAATTGAGGAAAAAAGTACTTTTTTAAAAAAAAAAAAAAAAGAAGAAGCTTTTTTGGCATGGTGAGAAACTTGTCCAAATAGGCTATAAGGCTAGGCCAGTGAAGCTATTGCCTTAGACTCCAAAAATTTGAACGCCCCAAATTTACTTATTATTATTATTATTACTATAATATAATATATAATTTATATACATAATTATTATTGTTGTATAAAAAAAGTATTACAGTATATTTTTTGTTATTTGATTGAGATTATTTTATATCAATAAGTTCATAAATTATGATAATTTTCTCACTTATTAATTATTATATTTGCTTCACTCTTCCATTTTAATTTTATCCTTTTTATAGGAATTAAGTTATCTACATTGACAATATAATGAATTTTTTTTACAATCTTCTCTAAAACTATTACATGAACACAAAAGTATTCAAGCACCGATTTTCTTTTTGGTGTAATTCAATTTATAATAGGTTATTTATAATTTATTTTAAATATTCACTAATAAATGCTACTAATTAATAGAATGATCTACAATTATCCTTTAAATTGATCAGAAGGAGTAAATATTCTTGAGACCGTCAATGCTCAAAACTTAAGCTATTACGTTATGTACGTTTATTTCTTTTTCTTGATTGTGATGATAGTCAAAATTTTCATTTTGAGTTTTGTTCTTCAACATCCGATAACCTACCATTTTATTCTTTGTGCTCATCTTCCTATTTTTTTTTAAAAAAAAATTGCTATTGTTTGTCTTAAATGATTAATTTGTTGTTCATAAGCAAATTTGTTGCTAGTGTAAAAAAGCTATAAAATAATTAAAGAGCCTCTCACTATGATTTCGCCTTAGGCACAATATCCATTGAGCCGCCCCTGATGATAACGGTCCAAATTAACACAAAGTAAACTCAATAATCTGCAACAAGTATCGTTGAAACAACTTCAACTTCGAGCTTGACCTGTAATAATGGAGCTTGATAACAGCTTGCTTGGATGGTTGTTACACATCATTTCATAATGTGTCATATTGTATTGTATTGTATTGTACTGTATTGTTTGATGAATACAATGTTTGGATAGATTGTATCGTTTACCGTTGTTTCATTATATCATGCACCATCAATATGGAGAATAAATTTATAATATTATTTAGAAAAATTATGATACAGGCTAAATTTATTATATAAAAAGGTAGGATAAATGATAAAATAAAATTATTTAATAATAGTGAAGAGTGAGATGAGAGAAAAAGATGAGATAACGACGCAACCATACCAAATCAGTCTTTACATAAAGTGACACATTTTGTCGTTTCGTAACGACAAATTTAACAATATAATACAATAAAATTTAAGTAACAACCAAAACAAACATCGTATTTAAAATAACAATACGATACAATACAATAGGTAACGACCATCCAAACAAGCTGTAAGTACGGGGTGATTATCATCGAAGAATGAAGAAGAAGATAGAAAAATTTAGATGAGATGAGAGAGAAGAAGAATCGAAAAACTGGGAGAGATAATTACAGAAGAGCAGAAGGAAGGAGAGGAGAGCATACCAGAATTCGTTCACGCTTTTTCTGAGTATATAGATGTTTTACTGGGCTAATCTGGACCGTTGCCTTCTCTTGATCTCGTCCTTACACGTGTAATATAACAACCACCTCAATTAGTCGTTAACTTTGAATTACCCGCTAATCTCATTTAGCCGAACGGCGTCGCTTCCTTTATTATTTTAACAACTATGTCGTTCTTTTCTTTTCAAACTTCATCTTATCTTTGAGGAAGCTTAATTAAATCATCTCTCTAATAAAAAATAGAGACAGGATTTCTTTTTAGTTTTACTGATAGCTCAAACTGCTAAAGCAATTTCAGAATCATATAACACCAACATCAACTAATTCGGAATTGAACGTAGGTGTTGATTCAATATAGTGGAGTATCAGTTCGTGTTAGTTATTAAAACACCTCAAACCTGTATACATGCCCTTGCAAAGAAATCATTTTATTGGACGTATATACATGCAATGTAAAAATAAAAAATAAAAAAATTACACTACTTGTATATGTTAACTTGTAGTAACAAGTAACTTGCATCGTTATACAAGTTACTGATCTCACTTTTTATGAATGGTTACAGGAAGATCTCTTGTAGGTGACCTAATAATGTAACAAAATTTTTACACTTTCAATGTATAGAAGTTACACACATTAAGACGAGCATAGTTTCGGCAACCACTCTCCATTATCCTCCAAAATTTGCCACCGATAGACATTTACAAGTAACCAATGTTTCTGTGTTAAATCATCATCTTTTTGGGAAGTAGGAGTATTATGGATGTATATAAATGACGGAATAATCAATGGATTATATCATATTGACCGAGATGAGCTTTGAAGGAGTGACATGGACAATGATGATTCATATAGCAACTCCAAATAGCTTGGGATTGAGGCGTAGTTGTTGTTGTATGGAATAATCAATGAATATCAATCAGTTTCACTTTACAAAATTACAGTGTCAGGCAGGCATTTCTGCAGCAATGGTTCAAAACCTTTTGATCCACGTGATAATCTATTCACTCAATTTTCCCAAAATGGACCTCTGTGCTGCAACTGGCTTCAATTAACTGCCCTTCAAAATATGAAGCAATCTATATAAGCTGCATTTCTGATCTCAGTAGTTCCAAAACCTCGTAAATCTCTGTTGACTCATTGTGAGAACCATCCTGGGAATAAAATGAATGGAGTTGGTTTCTCACTTCAATCCAACTACATCCCCCGCTTTTCTTCAGTCCTTTTTCCTTCATTTCTTTTCTTGTGTGTAAGACATCCAACCATCTTCCAGCCGAAGCATAAACATTTGACAGCAACACATATCCTTCGGGATGCTTTTCAGCTAGCTCTGAAATCTTTTTCGCCACCCTTTCTGTCATCCTCTCATTTCTGTATGTTTTGCAACCACTTAAGAGAGCTGCCCAGGCTTGAACTTCTGGTTCACAAGGCATGTCCAAGATGAACTTCTCTGCTTCAGAAAGGCGTCCTGAACGAGACAGCATGTCCACTACACAGGTATAATGTCTAGCATTCGGTTGTATATTATAGACCTTTTCCATTGAATTGAAGTAATGGAGTCCTTTGTCTACAAGACCACAGTGGGAACAAGCAAATAAAACTGCTAAAAGAATAAGCTCATTAGGCGCAATGGACTTCGTCCATTCAAATTCTTCAAATACAGTAAGTGCTTCGTCTGCAAAGCCGTTTTCTGCAAGCCCTTGAATCATAGCTGTCCAGGAAATCTCGTTACGTTTGGGCATCCTTTTGAAGATTTTCTTAGAGCTTTCAACATTACCCGATTTGGCATACATATCTAGAAGGGCAGTGTCCACGAAAACGTCCGAGTGAAAGCCAAGTTTAATGACCTTACCATGCAAGTTCTTGCCCCTTTCTAATGAAGCTAAGCTCGCACAAGCACATAAAACACTAGAGAAAGTAGATTTATTTGGTTGTTCTCCAGACAGAAGCATGTCACTGAAACCTTCAAAAACCTCATCAAATTTTTCATACTCTAAATAACCTGTCATTAGCGAATTCCATGAGATACTATTTTTTTGGGGTATCTTGTCAAATAGCTCCTTAGCTTCTTCAAGTTGGTTATTGAGGCTATAACCACTGACCATTGAATTCCAACAAACAACGTTCTTCTCCAATATCGAGTCAAATGCTACACGTCCATCCTTAGAGCTTCCACATTTGCAGTACAGGTCAACCAGTGAGCTACCAATGAAAGCATCTTTTTCAATCCCAATTTTTAAAATATGTCCATGAACAATCCTTCCCGTTATCAAAGCTTCAAGGCTCGACAATGCACTTACTACGCTTGCTAAACACGACTTATTCGGTTTATACCCCTGTTGGACCATGCAATGGAAGAGATTCACCGCCGCTTCTGCATCACCACTCTGACTGTACCTCGAGATCATTGTACTCCAAGAAACTTCATTTCTTTCTGGCATCTCATCAAAGACACGACGAGCTTCAGTTAAGTCTCCCTTCTGAACATACATGTCTAAAATTGCGGTCCAAGAAACGACATCTCTACCCTGCATCCTATCAAAAATTCTCCTTGCTGAAACAGTATCATTCAATCTCAAGTTAAAAGTGATCAAAGAATTCGAAACTGACAAATCATGTTCAAAACCAACCTTAACAATCAAACCCAATACACACGCTCCCAAATAAAAATCACTCAACTCTCCGCACGCTCTAATGACAGAAGTGAAAGTGACATTATTGGGCATTACTCCAGATTGAAGCATCTCTACAAACAGCTTCATAGCTTTAAAACTCAACCCATTTTGAACAAGCCCACTTATAGTTGCAGTCCACGCAAACAGAGTCTGAAATGGGTTTCTCTCAAAGTAGAAAATAGCCTCATCAACTCTTCCAAACCTCATAAACCCCGAAATTATAGCAGTCCAAGAAACTTCATTTCTGTCAGGCATTTCGTCAAACAGTCGACGAGCTTCGTCCAACTTTCCCCACTCAAGATTCACAGTAATCAGACAATTATGCACAACTAAATTGAACCCATCAAACTCCTTCAGCATCTGATCAATTTCCTTTGATTTTCCGGATTTAAGGTACATAATAAGCAATTTAACGGCAATGTGTTTCTGAGATGAAATGCCTGTTTTTATCAAATGCCCATGAAGAATGGCCCCTTGGACGATTAATCTTTCTTTTGTAATGTCGTTAAGGACTGAGACAATCTTGTTTACATTAGCTTTCACGTTTTTTCTTGAGTTAAACAGGAGAGACCTCACAATACTTCGCATGCTGAATGCTAGGCCTAAACATTTAACGCGCAATAGCATATAAAGTTGAAGAGTAGTTTATTAACTATACTATAAGAGATCAATTAAAAAGCTATTATGATACATTAAAGATAAATTAACTATAAGATTACGAGATCAAGTAAGTCATTGTAGAGGTCACAGGTCGATCCAGTATTTAAATTCTATGTTTCAACTTTTAAGGTTTTTAGCATTGAACCCATTATATTTTAACGTTATGGGTTCATATTTACTATTTTTATAATTTTAATGAATTTTTACACAAAATTTTTTACTTCGCATCGAAAGTTATGGCTTCATTTGAATCCAGCGCTACCACACTACCAAAGGCGGATCTAGGATTTGAAGGTGGCGGGTGCCACAACTTCCTTTAATATACATTTTGTAAGGAGTAACTAATATAGAGTTTGGTCAGTTCATTTTTTTAGTTTATTCGAGCAATCTAACTGTAAATATAAAAATTATATCTCTTTCTCATACCCTACTTGTGGGGTTTGGGTATGTTGTTGTGGTTGTATGAAAATTAATCTGAGACATTAAGAAGCAAATGTAATTAGCATTTTAAAAAAGAAATCACACTTTAATTATTAACAATACAAGTAAAATCAATATTTTCACTAGAGAACTACTTTTTTTTTAGGCTAAAAACAAATTTGCACAAGTAAAATAACTTCTTCTACAAGGAAATTCCACCAATCAGAATAAGAAAAATAAAAAAAATATCTTCAATAGATAAATTATACATAGGTAAATGAAGAATTAGATAAACTATAAGATCCGAAATTAAATCTCATGTTTTTCTAGGCAATGCTTGCAAAATATTCATCATAAATTAATAGTAAGGAGATTTAAATTGTACTTAATAGTCATAGAATAGCACAAATTTTTATATTATAGTAATAAAAAAGGAAATTATAAAAATTAAATTTGATATCAATTCAAAATTCCTATCAAGAATAAGTTTTCTGATTTTGAAAGAATAAAACTAAAAGATTTGATATTATAAGAAATGCCTATTTTTATGGAATTTTAAAATTTTGGAGGCTCTTTTTTGAGTGTTCTTCCTAAAGATCGCAGATAAAATAATAGAATAGAGGAGAAAAAATATAAAAAATAAACGGCAAATAGGAAATCAGGAGGTAGCCAAAAAGGAAAAATATTGGACAAAGGAAATAAAAAGTACAACGAAAAGAGAAAATCAAACAAGGTTAAAGATAAAAGAACTTGAATTTTACACATGAGAAAAGTTTTCAAAAAGGTCTACGGCTGACATCTTTGTCTAGTTTGCGGCTGGGTGTGGCAGGATCAAATATTTAACCCAATTTAATTAAATTTCTATATGTTTATATGATAATTTTACCAACCTAGCGGGTGTCGTACCACCCCCATTCTTTAGGGGGGATCCGCCCCTAGTAGAGGTTGGAGCTTATTAGAAACTAGAGCTCTACAATGGAGTTAAAAGGACTAATATTTACAATGATCAACTAATGATGTATTGTAATATTAATTTATTTCGCAGAAACTTTTTGGTAAATAAAATTATCGTTAGTGTTTAAAATCTAGGTTAAAGAGGTAGATTATCTAACTCCAGTTATTGAATAAGCTATTGTTGTACACCGAAATTAACTTACAAATAAAGGTAACATTTAAAATGGGTTTAAAATTACATACTTTAATAAAAAGTTTAACGTTCCAAAATTCTATTATAAATAATTTTTCAAGTGATAATAGCACAAAGACCAATATTGAATTACGTGTTTGCTGAGCAGTCATAATTCTTACGAAAAGGCTCACGACCAGCCCACATAAAAGTAGAAACAACCAAAATTCGTGCTCACTGGGTTGAGGTGCATAAGATACTAGAAAACGCTAAGAGGAGCACTTAGGAAAAAGCCATATAGCCATACACTTGGCCCTCTAAAGCTACAACAACGAACATGGCAGCTAGAGGCCCAACAGATAGTACATACACACATTTCTTTCTTCCTCACTCAAAACCTCCATTCACTCTTGAGAGGCTAACTCCTAACTCCATTACTCTCAATTGCTTATTGATGGTGTTGATTTTAAGCAACATCATCTCGAGTGTAGTATCATTGCCTTGAGTCTCATGATGGTCTTTGCTTTTATGACGCAGTTTCATTTATCGTTGTTGTTATTTTACTGGACGATAACTATATCTATTGGGCGCTTCTTTGTGCACCGGTAGACTCATTTTCCCTTATCATGATGTTGAGGCCTGTCAGTACTGACATGAGATCATTTTATCTATTTAGTATCTCGTTGAGAGACTATCACTATTCCTAGAGGACTTGGGTTGCCATGGCACTATCCATTTTCCTTATGTTTACCAGAGCCAATATGGAGACTAGAGCTATTTCTGCTATTGTTGCTAGGTATTGATATAAATGAATCTATGTGTTTCTTTTGTATTTTGAGTTAGTGTTAAATCTTTATTTTGTTAATATTGTAGGAAGAGGGTCTTTCGTGATACCATTGGGACTTTTATGTGTCTTTCGTAATATTTGTATTAGTGTTAAATTTGTATTTGGTTAATATTGTTGTTTTGATATTGTTTGACCACTGAAAAATATGTTTGTAGATGAAGTAGACATCACACAACTAATACCTCCTCCAAATGCATGAATTATGCAACTTGGTCGGCCCAATAATATATTGTTATTAATAATTAATATTATCCACTTACCCAAATTAGTTCAATAATAATATTTGTTAGTCGTTTTTTGATTTATATTGTTGTTGGATTGTGAATCTAAAGAGTTATATTGTAACATTTACACTTAATTTACAACGATAGATTAGCTTTAATGAAAGAATATGTACAAATATATTTTGATGCAATGTGTTTTATCTAATGAAAAAGTTTTTAAAACATATCAGAACAACTTACAACCTCAACAACTTACAAGGAGATATATATACGCCCCACCTTTTTTAGCAAGGAGATATGGACAAAGTACCATATAGTGAAATTGATATCTTTTAGCACATACTAGTATACTCGAGTGTAATTAATGCTGTTAATATTTATTTTCTTAGGCCTAATACTACTATTATCAATATATTGATATACAATATTATCCATCTATCATTGTGTTCTTTTTTAAGCCCTGTTGTTTTTTCCTATAAGGCACAAATTGTCCGACAGAAAATTACATGCGCAAACTTTTAATTGATTTTGAACTCCAATAACTGGCAAAATCTCTAAAACAAAGATTTAGTAGTAACTAGTCTTAAGGTACGCGCGTTGCGCGTGTATTTTATCTCAATAAATATAAAACTTTGAAAAGTTAAATAAATATTATATTAAATTTTTTGTTTGAGTTTAAAATTAATATTAACAAAAGTGTAAGTTTCTAAAAATAATAATTGTTGATTCTATTTAGCTAACTCAATAAAGTAAGAAACTCCACTTATATGTCCTTAATCATCTCATTCAAAAAAACTTATCAAAGACAGTCTTTTTTTTCTCACGACCAAAATGTAATTGTTTTATTTTCTTAACCAATAAGAAATACAACAATAATTATTTTCAACAGAATAAAAAATGCTATTGCAAATGTATCAGTTTCAATTCTTATGTTTTGATTAATCTGCTCTTCCTTTGTTTTGTACTTGGCTTTCTTTCTCTGTCATAGTATATAACTTTACATTTGAAAATTTCTTTCTATGGAAGTAAGGGGTCATTTGATACGTGGACTAAATTATCCTGGTATTATAATACTGAGATTATAATCCTTAGACTAATTTATCCCAGGTAAGAGGTGGGATAAAATAATACCAGATTTGATGGGATAAGGTGGAATAAGATGAAATATTCAGGATTAAGTTTGGGACAAAGTTTATACCATGTTTGGTTGTTGGTATAAATTTATTTTATACCACCAGCCATTATACTACCAACCAAACATAGTATAAATTTAGTACCACACTTTATCCTACCTTATCCCGTGTACCAAACCACCCCTAAGAGTCTAAGATTGTCATGAAATTTCTTAATGTTAATAGATTCTGAAAGGATATATTAATTATGAGCAAGACATGGAGTTTATGTTAGGAAAATTTTAATTTTGGCACATATTATTAGTTACACACCTAACTTGCTCGTAGTCTTAGTTACTCATTTGAACTTTATTATTTGATAGTAGATATCCCATGGTCGCTGACATGACAAAGCGCATTGACACACTCATTTAGGCGTGTGACAGTGGTTGTCAGATAAAGTATCTTTCGTCAGTTATCACATAGTCATATACAATACTTATTCATATGAATTGTGTATTTCTTTTTGCTTCTTCTTAATACAATGCATATCTTATCCCATTTAATTTTATATTTTTAAATTTTTTTATTTGGAAGCAATGGCTATGATTCAACTGTGTATTTTTTTGGGGGGTCAAATTTGTAATAAATCTTAACTGAAACTCCATCATTTGAGCCAAACAAAAAAAGTTTTATCCAAAATAATGGAATACCAACAATGTATTTCTTGTTATTTTTCCTTAGACAAATGACTATTTATTTTAATTGTATATTTTTTATTTTCGAGTCAAATTAGTACAAAGAAGTTGGTTGGAGCTCCACTATTGTTTTGCCTAATAAAATATGTACAACCAAAATAATGAAGTTGCAATTGTATACTTTATTTTTATTTTTCCTTTACATGCAATAACTATTTATTTTATTTCAACTGTATATTTGTTGAGGGAGAAAAAATATGTAAATATACTTGCTTAAAGCTCCATTATTAAAAATATATAAATATACTTGCTTAAAGCTCCATTATTAAAAATATATAAATATACTTGCTTAAAGCTCCATCATTTTTTGTCAAAGAAAAAGTTTTAAGCAAAATAATGCAGTACAAACTACATAATGTTTCTTTTTATATATCTTTTAGATGTATCGATTATTTATTTTAACTGTATATTTCTTCTTTTTTAGAAAAATTTGTCAACGTT